GCCTTCAATAATGTTCTAGACTACCGCTTACAAGGAGACCATCTGTGTTGAACCTTTTCAAAGCACATGCTTCTTCAAGAGATGGAAGAAAGATTCCGGGCACTGGTGCACTTTTCAAGTTGAGAAAATTATAGCACAGATAGACTTTGAGATGCTATACAGCAGGGCTTGGCAAACATTTCCTGAATAGGATTAGACAGTAAATATTTTAGGCTTTGCAACCTCATGGTCTCCACTGCAATTGCATTGCAAGAAGAGCCCTAGACAACAGCCTGAAAAAATGGGTGAAATTGTGTCCCCTCAAAACTGTACTTATGGATGTGGAAATCTGAATTTCGTAGAATTTTCATGTCAAGACATATTCTTTTGATTTTTTTTCCTCCAATCATTTAAAAATGTAAAAACCACTCTGGCTAGTTTGGTTCAGCAGATAGAGTGTCGGCCCATGGACTGAAAGGTCATGGGTTCGATTTCTGGTCAAGGGCATGTACCTGGGTTTCAGGTTTGGTCCTCAGCCCCAGTCAGGATCCTGTAGGAGGCAACCAATTGATATGTCTCTCTCACATTCATCTCTTTCTCTCTCTCTCTGTCTCCTCGCTCTTCCCTCCCTTCCACTCTATCTAAAAGTAATGAACAAATATCCTCGGGTGAGGCTTAACAAAAATAGAAATGTAAAAACCATTCCTAGCTTTCCATCTACACAAAAACAGGTGCAGGGGCACCTTTGGCCCACAGTTCAATCAATGACCAACCCCTGTTCTACAAGAACAAAGATATGCTGAGATGTATGGACACCTCCAGCAAGTTATGAAATAGATTAAGACCCCACATCTAGTCGGGCCGGTGTGGCTCAGTGGCTGAGCGTCGACCCATGCACCAAGAGGTCGCCAGTTTGATTCCCGGTCAGGACACATGTCCAGGTTGTGGGCCCAGTCCCTAGTGGGGGGCATGCAGGAGATAGCCAGTCAATGTTCTCTCTCATCGGTGTTTCTCTCTCTCTCTCTCTCTCTTCCTTTCACTCTCTCTCTAGAATCAATAAAGGAAAAAAAAAGTTAAAAAAAAAAAGAAACCACATCAGAAATTTAGTTTCAAATTATTTGCTATAAAACAGAATTTTATTACTCTCTTCTTCTTTTTTTAATCCTCACCTGAGGATATTTTTCTATTTATCTTCAGATAGAGTGGGAGGGAGAGAAAAAGAGAGAGAGAGAGAAACATTGATGTGAGAGAGACACATAGACTGGTTGCCTCCAGCAGGACCCCAACCAGGGCCGGGGACAAACCACAACCAAGGTACGTACCCTTGACGAGAATCAAACCTGTGACTCATTGCTCCGCGGGCAGATGCTCTACTGCTGACCCAAACCAACCAAGGCTGAATTTTATTACTCTTAAACCACACCTACATGAGATTAATTTTCTTAATGTGAAAACCTATGTAAGCAATAATTCCATGTAATATGGAATAGCAAGATTAAAAACCTTTCATGAATTTTGGAGGTATGATGAGGATTTTTGAGTGAATAACTATTTTGCTTTTTCCAAGAGATGAATAATGAGCAAAACTGTTGCAGTTTATTGTAGGTGAATGTTTAAATGTTTAAGAGCAGACCAGCACTCAGCTGAGGCAGGGTCCGACCCTTCACGCCAGCAGCTCCTCCTCCATCCCAGCCTGTGGTGCCCTGACCCTCCTGTGCTGGGGTGAGGGGTGAGGGTGGGACGGCTGCTCAGGCTCAGACTGAGACTTGGGTAGAGGACCAGGGAGACCAGGATCCACCCAGCTCCACCCACCTCCACTTGACTCCAGCGCCCCCGCCCCCGCTCCCAGGCACAGAGGCCCCCTTCTGAGGCTTGGAGTCCTGGGCCCTCACTCAAGTACCCTCCCCAAGAAAAGAGGATCGGGGCAGGGTATGGTGTGGGGAAGCCCGGGAGCCCCATTCCTTAGTATTTTCTCATGGGCATTGAGAATCCTGCAGAGGGGAAGGGGACACTCCGGGTCACCATGGTGACTGTGATCAACTGACAGAGATGGAAAGACAGAAGCAGGAGGACTGACAGCCCAGGGGAAGACGGGCCCTCGGGCACCAGCACCCAGCCTGCCTGGAACAGCATGGGGGGGCTGCAGGCAGTGGGCACGCACTTAAAGGGCCCGAGAAAGTCAGGGTCACAGTCATCACCACAGTCCTGGAGAAGTCTGAAGGACCCCTCTGCATCCCACCCAGCATCAGCCCTAGGAGGGAAGAGGCGTCTCTGGGCTTGAGTTCCTCCTTATCTCTTGCCTTTGCTGGAGAAGAAGGCCCCTCTGGCCTCCTGGGACTTGTCCATCCTTTCCCAACCTCGCTCACATGAGGCAGGGAGAAGAGTCCTTCAGCTTCTTTCACCTTCACAGGGAAAGATTCTCAGCTTCTTGTCCTTGAATAAGAGGGTGTCAGAAATGGGGCCCTGGCTGTCACTGACTCCCCGACTCATCCCTGCCTTCCCTTCCTGGCTCCCCCACACACATACACACAGAGTGTGACCCCCAGAGGAAAGAAGAGATGGGAGGTGCAGGCATGAGGGAACCACAAGAAAGGGTCTGGAGGGGCCCTCGGCATCCTGTCTGGTTCTACAGGAGGACCGGCCTCCACACTGTTCCCACGCAGTCCCCCCGGGAAACCTTCCCTGGCCGACTGCTTGAAAAATTGCTCCAACCTCAAAAGTGAATGAGAATTGAGGACTGACTTCAGACATGCAGTGTAATATGCGGGCTTGAGGGGGGTATTTTTAGTGTTTCTAGAAGGGGACCATAGTCATTGTCATGAGCGCAGAGATGAGTATCGTGACTCGAAGATAAACTCCCTTCCCGGGAGGCAGGCACGCGGGTGTGGGGCGGGGGGCACTAAATGGGGACAGAGCCGAGGGCGAGAACACGATGTGCTGGCTCCAGGGGCGGGGACTCCTCGGCCACCTTCCCGGCGCAGCGCAGGGCGAAGACCCACGGGCCCTCCTGCAGGCCCGGCCGATTCTGGCTCCGTGGGAGGAAGAAGCGAGGAGGCAGGCATTCCGCATTACTGATGTCTGCCCTGAGAGGAGGGAAACTTTCCCCAACGCACCATCTGCTTTCTGTCCCTGGGAGTGGACACTCCGAGATCGGACTTTCGTGCAGGTACAAAATCGACGTGATTAATATTACGCACGTTGCCAATGCCCAAAGGCCACTTTGAGGCAGGGAGAATCACTTGTTCACGCTGAGTCATGGAGAAGACACTAAAAGGGCCTACTGCAGTGTTTTTCTTTTGCTTTTTAAAATCCTCACCTGAGGATAGGTGTGTTTTTTATTGATTTTAGAGAGGAAGAAAGAGAGACAGAATCATTCGATTGCCTCCCATACACACCCCAACTGGGGATGAAACCCACAGCTTAGGTATGTGCCCTGATGAGGACCCAAACCTGAAACAGTGTGGTGTGTGGGGCGATGCTCCCGCTGACTGAGCACCCGGCTGGGCCCCTGCAGGGCTCTGAGTTCTTGTAAATACTTTCAATAATGTCCTCCCTGCTGCCAGGCTGTTTTCTGCTGTGATTCTGACAGGAAAAAAACCACTTTGCTACTTCAAAAAAAAATTTTAAGCATGCACATTCACACTTTTATTTCTGAAAGGTGAATCATTTCAAAATTATCAAATGTCACGTTTTCTTAATATTTGCAGTGCAAGAGAAAAGGTAAATATAATTTATATATAAATAGATACAGGAATATCAATAAAAATATTACAGCTGATAATTCCAATACTTAAATATTTTACCAAAGCATTGTTATACACAGTAGATGAATACTATCATAGAGGCTTAAATTATTTTTCTTTCAACAACAAGTAATTTAAATAGCAATTTATTTTAATAGAATACAATGTCAAGTCATAAACTCTTTTTGTGTTTCATATCCAAAGCTTTTAAATGGTTATTTTCAATTTTAAAATATATCACATGAGCCCTGGCCGGTTTGGCTCAGCGGTAGAGCATTGGCCTGTGGTCCAGAGAGACCTGGGTTCGGTTCCCGCTAAGGGCACGTACCTCGGTTGTAGTTTGGCTCCGGCCCTGGTTGGGTCGTGCGGGTGGCAACCACTCAACGAGTCCCTTTCACATCGATGTTTCTCTCTCTCTCTCCCTCCCCACTCTAGCTGAACAAAAAATGGAAAAATGTCCTCGGGTGAGGATATATATATATATATATATATATATATATATCTCACATGAGAGCTCCATTCTTTTCACTGGTGCAGGTTTATCGATTCCAGAAAAAGCCCCCTTCTCTGCAAAATAAAATCTCCTCATTAATCGGATGAAAGTATAAATAAAACAGTTGACACTTGACATAGACATTGGATTTTCTAGGAGTAAATAAAACATAAAGGAAAAATATTAAAACCATTTCAGTGTTGTCAGGACAACAGATCATTATTTTTAAATTCCTAAATACTGGATCTAAGGAAAGCTGAAAAACATTTTCTTTTCTTTAAAAAGCATAATATAATCCTTGAAAATATCCTTTATAATATACATGTACACCTGAAGAGTTCCACATCTAGGCCAAAAAATTACGCAGTTTCACTAAAACGTGAATTTGTAACTTTTCACAATTGTTGGATAATTTTTATAAAAATAAAGCAGTTTCCTTAGGAAAAAAAATTCTGCCAATTGGAACATCTTCATTCTGGAAACAAAAGACTTTTTTTCCCGAAAATAATGAAGTTTAGTCCCTGGCTACATAAACATTCATTGACTTATTCAAATGAAAATACATTATCGTGCTTCTAGAAAGTAGTTTCTTTCATTAACACAGTCTGAGATAGCTTCTGGAAGCCATCACCAAAATGTTCGGATTCACAAGCAAGATCGGTGAGCAGAACCCGGCCTGAGTCAGTTCCAACGCCACTCAACGCATCTGTCCAAAGCGACGGGAAAGTGGTGGCGTTCCACAAGCTGTCACCTCATCTAATTTCCTCTTGTTCCCAACCACGTATTCACAAACATTTGAATTTGTATTTAAACTCGATATCGTTTAATGGTGGTAAAACACCCAAGCCTGCCCGGGACTGGTCCAAAGGAGGACATTTAACATGGTCCTCCACAAACTGTAGTTCAAAATAGGACAGCATCAGAATCAAAAACTGCTTGATTTCCTGGACAGCAAATAACCTTCCGGGACATATTGTTGCTCCTGAGCCAAAAGGCATGTAGTAATACTTTAACTTGAGTCCATTGCTGTAGAAGGTGGTCTTTGTCTTCCCATGTTCATCAAGATAGCGATCATATTTAAATGTCTGCAATGAAAACACAAAGGAAACAAACCTGTAAGCTACTTTTAAATAAATGTATCTCTTTCTTGACCTGGAAGCTCCAAAAGATAATTTTTCTTTTTTAATCCAATTTATTAGTAATTTAGCAAGTACCCCACCATAAATCAGAAGGTAATAAGGAGCAGGAGTTTAACAAGAACGGATGGGAATAAGAAAGCTTCTGACACCTCCTGCCCTGCCTGGGTGACCAGTGCCTCCGTTAGGCAGAACTGGAAAGAAGAGCTCAGATCAGAAACTAGAAGAGTCAGTATATTATTGGCCTTTGAGCCTCTAATTTCCTGGATTTGGAAGCAGGTACTTTTCAAGGAAAAGGAAAGACAGCGACTTTATTATCACGACTACATATATAATCTAGCAGGATTATGTGATGACAAATATGAGGGAAAAAATGAAAAATCCAGGCCATCATCCAGGTTTTCCAGAATATATGAATATTTGACATAATAAAGGAGACTATCCCCATGGCTTCAATGATCAAATTCGGTAATGGTAATTTCCTCTTTTTTTCTGTCTGGGTAGATATCACCTGGATATTGTACTTTGATGAATAGGCACTTACCAAAGGATCTGGGTAGATTTCCGGATCTAAATGCATTAACTGAGGGTACAGAGCTATGATGTCATCTTTGCGGATATTGTAGGAACCATCCTGGAGGTGCAAAGTGAAGTCCTCTTTAGCCGTCCGGATGTTCAGGGAGGCGCTGGACAGCCTCAGAGACTCCTTGATGATACTATCTAAATATTTTTAAAGGGTGAGGGAAAGAGGGAGGCAAGAAAAACAAATTAAGTATTTAAAGGCCATACAATATAGAATCTGAAATACTTCCAGCAGCCCATAACACACAGCTAAACAGACTCTGGGAAGCTGGTTAAACCCAAATTTCTGAAACTTTTTTCTTTACCACTATGCTGTAATCAACGAAAGTTGTGTCTGAATGTATTTTTTAATCTGAGTTAATAATAATTTTTTGATAAAGTTATAATCTTCTTGATGAATAGAAACTAGACTTTCCTAATTTTATAGACAAATAATCTTATTTATACCTGTCCCTAGACATCTAATTGGGAAAATCAATAAATCACTTTTATGTGAATTATTCAAAGTTTGTCACTTTTGAGATTTAATCTACTAACAATACTGTAATGTAGAAATATTTTTCCATATGTTTAATGCAGTTTTAATTCAGAGTTTACAAAAACTCATTTTCATCTGTACCTAGCTGATGCTTTGTGACAATGCCCTGCCTCCTGGCAAAGACTTAAAGAGACAAAAAGAACCATCCCGTGAGCAGATAAAACATACCAATCTAATGAGGAGGTCCCGCCTGACCTTCTAGCCTCTATCGTTTTCATTGTCATGTTTGGGTGCACCTCACATGAGTGTGTGTAAAATCATAGCATGTTAACACTCTATTTTACAAATGAGGAAGGCAAGGCCCCCAGAAGTGGAGTGACATGTTTGAGGTCTCCCGTGGCGGAGTCCAGCGTGGAACCTGTGTCAGGCCTCCTAGTTCCTTCCGCTAACACACACTGCCCCTAAAAGCATACAATGGCTTCTTTCCTATAGATAAAAATAACAAAATAACTCATTCTTGCTATAAAAGCATAACTTTTTGTGTGTGTTTCTATAAAATATAGAGAAGCAAAAATAAGAAAAATAAACTTCAGTCCATTACTCAGCCCATGCATCTAATTGTAGTTTCTTGGTGGTACTTTTTCCCCCTCTTGATTTCATGAAAATGAATAATATGCTCCCAATTAACTGAAGAATTAGTGTGAGAGAAATTACAAAAGAGACAGAGAACGCAAGCGCAGAGAAGTGGTTGAGATTGTGGGGTCAAGAGTCCCACCTCCGTGAACGTTGTAATTGGTTTCACTACTTCATCCTGGACAGCAACTAAGCCTCTAGGTGCTGGTTTCTTTACTTCTTATGTGGAAAGAGTAACTGTCCTAGTCTAGCACTTCTGTGAAGATCAACACATGGGAAATGCGTAGCATGATGCCTAGAACAAGCAAGTGCGTGATTGATGTACACTGACGATTCCTGGTCCTGGGAGGTGGCGAATGAAATGTAACGTAGGAAGTTGAGCATACCTAGTACCGGCATGTCATTCAGCTGCATCTGATTCAAACAAATAGGTTTGCCTTCTAAGCTGACATTTTGACCAGCATTCTCTAGAGTTTTATTCACTTCCTCAGTAGCTGCTTTCATTGCTTCAGGGCTCCTATTTAAAAGTTAAGAGAAAAGAAAAGAGAGTAAATTTTTTTCTATACCAAAGAATCTGCAAACATACAGGCTTTTCCCCTGTCTTTTAAATAAGTGACCAAAATACCAAAAAGGTGGGAAAGGGGTATTTCTTTCTTTTTCTTTTTACTTGATTTTGTAATCGTGTTTAAGCCCTTGGATATTAGCAGAATTGCTGCTTTAAACGGACCCTGCTATGTAGAAGTAAAACTTTGGTCATGTTTTTATAAATAAATGATTCTCGTATAGATTAAATGGTAAAAGCAGTCATTTATATAGCAGCTGAGGAGACAAAGTGCCTCTAAACTAACAATTGTAAAATACTGGTTAAGTTGTGCAGGCACATTTCCGTTTCCTTCTAAAATCCGTGCCGCAGTTTCAGACAGAACAACGCTTTCCCGTTTACAGTTGTTCTGCAGTGAGTGCTGCTTCGCTCTCCTGCCGGGGCCCCTGGTGCTCAGTGCCCCAGGAAGGATTCGTATGCATGATCACAGTAAGTGGCTCTCAGACATGTATGACTGGTAAGTATCTGTGTGATTACCATACAGTGGCTACTGTTACTGTGTGACATTAAATTGATACTGTAACCTTATTGTAAATACGTGACTTTGTTCTGGACAGAGCTCTCTCAAGTAAAAACTCTGTAAGACATTTACCAATTGAGACAGATTGAGATGGGTTTATTTTTTTATCTGAAATTGTTTTGAAAAGATTTTTTATGTTACAGACATAAAATTATCAGCCATCAATAGAATTTTGGCATTTCCAATTCGAGGGAATAGTAATTTTGTGTCTACGTGACACTAAACATCCAATTTAACTGGGATAATTCAATAAACCATTTGGATGTCAAATTTCCAAAACACAAACACTTTGGAAAGAAATGCCCTTCTGTTGTCCCTAAGTCAGAAATCAGTTAAATACACTTCTATGACTATGAAGACCAGATTCATGGATGTAAGTAGGTATCACGACAAACAGCCTGGGGTAGGAGCAAGGTCTCTGGGCCCAGGGCCTGAGGGACCCTGCACAGCGCACTTCTTTCCAGGGGAAGCTCTCTGCTTCTCTAAGACACGTTTCCCAGCCACAGCTGCTTATGCTAGTTGAATTTCTGCCTTCCACTGAAAGAAAGAAAGAACTGAATAAGTTGCTGGTTACCTCATCATTTGAAATAAGCTCCAGAAAGTGGCCGGAATGGTGTTGGCCTGCGATGCCCACAGGACAGCCAGTTGAGTCTTGGCCTTTTCCATGTCATCTAAGGTGGAGAGCAAGTCATTCAGAAACCTGACCAGTTCTGACAGGTGGTCTCTCTTCCCCAGGCTCTCGTGCCTCAAGCCCTCCGCCAGTTTTTCCCGGGCGTGGTGTGCGGACTTGAACACGTGGATGGGGAGGCCTGCTACCAGGGCTGGAAAGATTTTGTCAAATTCCTTGAAGTTGTCAAGTTTATTTAGAATAAGTGCTCTTTGTGCATCTTGTCCCATAAGATCTCTGCCAAAGAGAGTTAAATACCCAGCTTCGAACATCACTCGGTAGCAGAAGGCATACATCCCCTCCGTCGCCCAGGCAGGCATCTTTGATTCGGGTCCAGCTGGAGGCCTCATGATCAGTTGGAGGTTTTCCATCATGGCTTCTGTGAGGGCGTTCAAGGCGTCGCCCTGCAGAGTTTTGACGAAAGCTTTGCTTATGTTGTCGGTAGTATTTCCATCACTCGGGTCAATGCTTTTGTGCCCAAATGCCTGACAGGAAACAAAACGTGTAAAGAAAGAAATTACACCTAAAAAGAAATTACAGGGCTAATAAATGGCTGAAAAACAAATTAAGCACTCTCATAATTAGGAAAGTTTCCTTTTTTAAAAAGTCTACTTGTGAAAAGCAGGGGTGGGGGGAGGGGCATGGAACTTGACCTGTCCACATACTGTTTCATAGCATTTTACTAATAAATGGCTAAACCATACCCTTTCTTTATGGGCCAGCTTAGACCCCAGCTCCTCAGTGAAATTTTCCTCAACCACTCTATTTGTCTATTTCTTATTTATATTCTGTTAGGGCATTTATCTGCACATTAATTTGATACTAATCAATAGTGGTTTTTAATCATTAGTTCTCTTTCATATTCTTTTAACCAGACTTTAATTTACTTAGTGGGAGACATTGTGTCTAATATTTCTTTGCAGAGACTCAGTTAATGTCAGTTCATTGTTTGCGCTATAAAAAGGGCCTCTTAGATCACATCTAAGTGATGCCAAAAGATCTGGTCAATTCCTTAACAAAATTAAGCAAAGGTTGGCACGAGTGTGGTAGAGCACCTGCTCCGTGTTCGGCTCTCAGCACACGCACGCCGGGTGTCGTGCAAACACAACCGACACGAGGGAGTCTGTGCCGATCTCACGTCTACAGTGTCGTCCGGCTCAGTAAAATATTTCACTTTTATTTCAACCTCATTAGCTAGTTAAGAAATGACAAATCTATACCTATTTCGACTTTGTAAATGATTAGTAATGTGAGGTTTTGTCTAATTTGATTATATTCCTAAGAATCTCCATGGGAGCGTGACTCTCTTCCACATCTCGAAGTCAAAGTACCTCCAAACGACTGAGTAAACGGACACATGAAAAAGTAGAAAACACACAGAGTGCTGTATACTAAGCGTAAAAGTGGTTACCTTTGCAGAAGTAGTGAAATGAAATTTTTTCCAGTCGAAGTATTTTCCATGACACAACACTTTCTGGTAGGACAAGGGATTGGTGATGAAGTGGACGTAGTTGCCCATCAGTCTGCAGGTGAAAACAGAACCATGTTTCCTTTGATTCGCTCTGAGGAATTCGAGAGGATTGGCCCCAAACTGCAGAGCACATCCCAGGTATGGAGTCAGCCCATTCTCCAGAGGTGGTTCACCCACTCGTCTGCAAGACAGAAAAATACAATGGCTATGGAAAATTACACACTGCTTTATATTTATACCAGGTTTTTTCATTTTTTCTACTGACTTCAAACTTCAAAACTCTATAGTTTATAAATACATTTATTTATTTTATTTATTTATTTTTAAGAGAGAGAGAGGAAGGAAGAGGGTGAGAGAGATAGAAACATCAATCAACAGCGATGGACCGCCTCCTGCACAGCCCTTGCCAGGGATCTAGCTCACAACCTGGACATGTGCCTTGACCGGAATTGAACCAGTGACCTCTTGGTGCATGGGTTGATGCTCAGCCCCTGAGCTACACTGGCTGGGCTATAGATACTCTTTAGTGTTGAAGGGGCCTTGCTCTTTTACTAAAATAATGGGTTATATTAACCTAGTCAGATGATATGTTGGTGGAAACAGTTACTGAATCCACCCATCATCCATGCTTACATTCTACAACACTTACTAAATATCCACAATATGCTAATCACTTTTCCCAGTAATGAGGATAAAAGGATGAACAAGGCCAACAAGATTATTGGTCTCAATATGGAGATCAAACTACATTCTAGCATTTATATTTTTTTCTAAGCATCATTTGCCTAAGTCTTTGATTGTTTTCTTTAAAGATATAGAATACTGAATAAAAGAGAGGATTGCAGAGCTAAAGTTTTCACAATCTTCATAGTTTAAAGCTATTATTCTGCGATGATAAAGATAAGAATCTCATTTGAGAAATTGGCTTATTGTAAAATGAAATTAAGTAAAATAAGCATTGACAGAATTATCAATTGTAATTCAATACTCTTTCATGCTATTTTAAATGTTTTTATTAAAGAAATAAACATTCCTGAAGCCTATATAATAATGTATGTCAACTGTAATTGAAAATAAAAAATGCTAATAAAATTTTTTAAATAAAGGATATAAACATTTATTTTCCAACATAAACTGCTATCCCTCCTGATAGAATAACATAGCATAAAATAATTATTTTTATTTTCTTATCTTAAAGATAAGTAGTATAATTAAAACTAGAGCTTAGGTTGAGTCTATACAATACACAAGAGCTAGTTGAATAGAGAATATTAATTTAGTCAGAGCATCTATTTGATCATGTGATAGAAAGAAACCTTTTTCATTGCAGATCCTACTTACCACTTGTGGTCTTACTAATCCAGACTTCCTCTTTATACACACACATAAACATACACAAAGATCTCACAAATTTGCTGTCAGTTATATTTAACAAGTTTGTACATTTTTGCATTACTATTGGTATGCCAAAAGTAAAAATAAAACTGTCAGTATATCTTGTTAGATATAATTTAAAAAACCAAATTTATTGTATAACAATGAAAGTAAAAGAACATTAACTGGGTAAACTTAGATGCAATTTAAAGATGAAACTTTATTTTTACCTTCTCCTCATTCCAAGGATAAGCCACAAACAACAGCACATTGCTATCACAACCCCCCAGATCAAAGACATAGTCATCATTTTGCAAATCCAATGTAAAACCTCTGTGGAGGAGAATCTGAGTAGCAAAGTAAGGATGTAGCTGACCAGAAACTGCAGCTACACTTTTTATACATGGTAAGATCTTACACTTGAGTGACCAAAGCAAACAATTAACCATTTGTTAATCCTATTAGAAAAAAAATAACTGGCCTTGAACTAAGTCCACAGGTATCAGAAGAAGTTCCAAAACAATCAGAGACCTGCAATACTTGATAAGTTGAAGGTCTCTCAAACACATGTTGACTTAACATTCAGATCTGGGAGTGACAGCTGATATTACAAGGTTCTACTGTTTATAAAAAAAACAAATAAACCTGTTCAGGGTGAACAGGTTTATTAAAGAGAGATAGGAAATACAATCATTGAAAGAAAAATAAGCATACGTTCTTATCAAGCCAGTGATTTGATCTGTTACCTTTTGAAGAAGAAATCAATTTAAATGATTTATGAGAGATATAGTGTCAAGTTCCAAGGAAAGAGAATTGGGTGAAATGTTTCTGGGGCTTCATGTTTCGGTGCTTTTACAAAATTATAGCTATTGTACTATATATAGTAACATGGTGCTTACCTAACATCTTTAAGAAAGTATCCCACATAAATGCATCTTTCAATTAAACCATTTTGTGCAAGCATCAAAACTTGATCAACCGGTGGGGGGAGGTGGGTATAGAGGGGATAAACGGTGATGGAAAAATAAATAAATAAATAAATAGCTATTTAAAAAACTCTATCAACCATTTTTTTTCTTATTGAAACTATGTTTATTCATTTTTGTAATTGTTAAAATAACACAATTTTATTTCAAATAACTTAAAACTATCTGAAAAATATCTTGGTAGAAAGTGGAGGTCAGGTCATCATTTACCTTCCCTACTACCCCCCACTCAAAGGTAACCACTGTTAATTGGTTGGTATATATCTTTTCAAACTTTATTTCTGTGTACACACACACACACACATACACTTTTTAATCCTCATCCGAGGACATTTTTCTATTTTTTGTTCAGATAGAGTGGGCAGGAGAGAGAGAGAGAGAAACGTCAATGTGAAAGGGACACACCGAGTGGCTGCCTCCCGCACAACCCAACCAGGGCCAGGGACAAACTGCAACCGAGGTACATGCCCTTAACAGGAACCAAACCGGGGTCTCTCTGGACCATAGGCTGATGCTCTAACCACTGAGCAAACTGGCCAGGGCTATACACATATATATTGATTGAGCACCTGTTTTGTGCCCAAAACCCTTCAAAGGTTTTCTGGTTACAGGTGTTCATAAGATGGACACATTCTCTAACAGAGGCTCTATTTCAGTAGAGACAGATAATAAAATATAAGTGCTATGAATAAAATAAAACTAGCTGTAGAGAGCTATTGGAGGATCAGAGCAACTTTAAGTGGTGGTTAAGCTCTGAATGACAGGAAGGGATTAGCCAAGTGAAAATCAGAAGGAAGAGAACTTCAGGAAGAGGGAGGTACCTCTATGAGCCAGAAAAAAGGTAAATAGATTGGAGCAGAGTGAATGAGGGGAAATGTGGTTAAGATATAAAGGCAAATGTAGTTAGGAGCTAGTTCATACACAGGGATGCATTAGAGTAGGGAGAGACAGATTTTGGAGAACAATAGATCAAAATACTATTTTGGACATTTAAATTTGAGAGAACTATTAGATATCCAAGGATCAATGTTAAATTGGCAGTTGAGCTTAAGGGTCTGAAGCGAGGGAGAAAAGCTGGGATTGGAAATAAAAATCTCAAGTCATCAGCATTTGGATGGTATTTAAAGCCAAAAGACCTTATAAGATCACCTAGGGAGACAATCAACCCTGAGAAAAGAATAGAGCCCAACACCAGACCACAGAGTATTCCATTTACTGAGGTGAGGCAGAGAGCAGGAAAAGGAAGGATGGACAGGAAAGAACCAGGAAGAAAAGCAAGAAAATATGGTGTCTCAGAAAGACAGAGGAGAATGCATTTAAAGAAAGATGAGTAATTAACTACATCATATGCTACTTTGAGGTAGAGTAAGATGACAAAAAAATGACCACTAGATTTGACAATATGTAGACAGCTGGTGAGTCACCCATAAACACACACACACAGATGGGGTTATGTTAAAGACCTTTTTATAGCATGTAAAACAATGAATACATATTGTGGACATTTCCTGTGACAACACTTATCTATGTATTATGTGTGTGTGTGTGTGTGTGTGTGTGTGTGTGTATCCTCATTTTAAATGTGTATATTCTTTCATTCATTAAATGTACTATAGTTTACTGATTTCCTATTGATGTATATTTAGTTTGTTTCCACTTTTGGCCATAGAACCCATACGTTTAGTTTATGCTTTTATTTTTTTTCCTCCTTAAACAGAGAACACAAATCTTTTTGTGTAATTTATTATCATAATTATTAATATCCATCATTGCATGCAGTACATAGATTTCCCAATCTATTTAGGTTTTCTGGGGTTTTGTGCATATTAACCACATTTAGTCTGATGTGTGCTTTTAAATTATTATATCTTTTTCTATTTTTTTTTACTTCATTATATATTTTTATTTATTTTTATTTTTAACTCATCTTTATTGTTGAATGTATTACAGATATTCTCCTCTTTTTTCCCCATTGATTCCCTCCTCCCCAATCCTGCCCCCCTCCTGCCTTCCTCACACTATTGTCAGTGTTCATCGGTTATGCATGTATGCATAGAATTTCTTTGGTTTTTCTCATCCCAACCTCTCTCCTCTCTTCCCTTTGAGGTTCATCAGTCTAACAACCAATCTGTTCTTCTTAATTTCTTTATCTTTTCACCCATCTCCCCATCTGCCACCCATCTGGCAAGCAACAAAAAGTTCTTGGTATCTATGAGTCTGTTTCTGTTCTGCTTGCTCATTTTGTTTGTAGATTCAGTTGTTGATAGATATGTATTAATTGCCACTTTATTGTTCATCTCCTTCAAGAAGACCCTTCAACATTTCATATAATACTGGTTTGGTGGTGATAAACTTTTTAAGCTTTTTCTTGTCTGGGAAACTCTTGATATGTCCATCGATTTCAAATGCTAGCTATGCAGGATAGAGTAATCTTAGTTGTAGGTCATTGCTTTTCATCACCTTGAATATCTCTTGCCACTCCTTTCTGGCCTGCAAAGTTTCTTTTGAGAAATCAGCTAGTCTAATGGGAGCTCCTTTGTAGGTAATGGACTGCTTTTCTCTTGCTGCTTTTAAGATTCTCTCTTTGGCCCTGGCCAGTTTGGCTCAGCGGTTGAGTGTCGGCCTGCGGACCAGAGAGTCCTCAGTTTGGTTCCTGCTAGGGCCACGTACCACCACCAAAAAAAAAAATTTTTCTCTTTGTATTTAACCTTTGGCATTTTGATAATGATGTTTCTTGGTGTGGACCTCTTTGGGTTCAACTTGTTGGGACTCTCTGTGCTTCCTGGACTTGTATGTCTGTTTCCTTCACAGAGTTAGGTAAGTTTTCTGTCATTATTGTTTCAAATAGGTTTTCAATGTCTTGCTCGCTCTCTTCTCCCTCTGGCACCCCTATGATGCAAATGTTGGCACACTTAAATTTGTCCCAGAGGCTCCTTATACTATCCTAATTTTTTTTTTTTTTTTTTGGTACAGGCCCCTAGTGGGAACCAAACCCGGGACTCTCTGGTCCACAGGCCGATGCTCCAACCACTGAGCCAAACTGGCCAGGGCTATCCTCATTTTTTTGGATTCCTTTTTCTTTTTGCTGTTCTGATTGGGTGTTTTCTGCTTCCTTATATTCCAAATTGATGGTTTGCTTCTTGATTTTACCTACTCTACTATTGATTCCCTGTAAATTATTTTTATTTCCATTAGTACATCCTTCACTTCTGACTGGTCCTTTTTGATGTTGTTGATGTTCTCACTAAGTTCCTTGGAGGTCTTCTAAGTCCCTTGAAGGTCTCACGAAGTCCCCTGAATGTCTCAACAAGTTTCTTGAGCAATCTTATAACCTAAACATTGTGCTTTGAACTCTGCATCTGATTGATTGCTTATCTCCATTTTGTTTAGTTCTTTTCCTAGAGTTTTGTTCTTTTCTTTCGTCTGGGACATGTTTCTTTGTCTCCTCATTTTGGCTGCTTCCTTGTGATTATTTCTGTGTATTAGGTAGAGTTGCTATGTCTCCTAGGCTTTGTAGTGGGGCCTATTGTTGTAGGTGTCCTGCAGGATCCAGTTGCACAGTCTCCCTGATCACCCCAGCTGGGCGCTTGAGGTGCACCCCTAGTGCGGACTATACACCCTTCTGTTGTAATTGAGTCTTGATTGCTGTTGGCATGTCAATGGGAGGGAATTACTCAGGCTGATCAGCTGCAAGGACTGGTTGTGCCCACTAGCTACTGGCCTCTGACTACCTTGGTGGATCAGCTGTGTAGGGGCCCAATACACAGAGCAAGATTTACTTCATCAGAGGCTCTGGTACCCACTGAGCCACTCACTAAGTGTGTCACTTGTGGAGGTGGTTGGGTGGTGGGGTTTCAATGTGGTCTGAAGCTGTCCACTGGGTGTGCTGGCTCTGGGGCAAGGTCAGCCACTGCCTGTGTTCTATCTGGGGCCACCAGCATAAGCTACAAAGTGATCTGCAAATGGCTGCTTCTTGTGCTGGGCTTGGAGGTGTCCAGGAAAAGCCAAGTTGTGAACCAAGGCTGACTGCTTCTAGTGCCAGGCCTGGGCCCACTTAATGAGAGATATGGGGCTTGCTGAGACCAGATGCTGCTTGTTTGAGAGATTTTAGAAAACTCTGAAGCAGGATCCAAGACAGGCCAATCCTAAGGTAAAGCCTTTGGAGACAGCTTGGGTGGGCCCAAAAGTTGGGTGGGGCGGGGCCTCAGGGAATCACCAGGGGAAGGCAAACAGTGTGAGCCACGTTATGGAGTCCCAGATATGGTGGCCCTCTGCCACCCCAGGGAAGGGCTCACCAAAGGAACATCAGCTTCTGCCAGCACCT